GACAGTAGGATGACTGAAATCCCAAGGTCATTCACAGCTGACAGTAGGATGACTGAAATCCCAAGGTCATTCACAGCTGACAGTAGGATGACTGAAATCCCAAGGTCATTCACAGCTGACAGTAGGATGACTGAAATCCCAAGGTCATTCACAGCTGACAGTAGGATGACTAAAATCCAAATGTAGGCCCAGTTGGCTAACAGGTGCCCTGTCCGGTCCCTTCAGAGTCCATCATAGAGACAACGCTGTTCAAGTGCGTTCTGAAGCCTCTGCGGGATGCGATCTATGCAAGGCTGTGGGATCTTCACACGAGGGATAACTCACTGATGAAGCTGCGTGACAACCAGCAGGTGGTGCTCAATAGCACCACCACCGACCTGGGAGTTACCACCAGCGTGCCGGAGTCAGCCGACATAGAGAAGATTAAATTCAAGCTGGACATGCTACACAAAGAGTACTCCCCCGAAAAGAAAATCTCCATCCTGTTAAAGACCTGCAAGGTTATTTACGAGTCCATGTCGGTCAGCTGTCCTGGTGAGTACATCTAGCCAGTGCTGTAAGAAAATCCAGTTGGTGCCACGGTGCCTTACTGGGTACCCTGAGTGGGCAGCTACACTACCAGTCAAAAGTTTTTGCACACCCTGAGATTTTCTACATTTTCATGTTACTCATTTAACATTTTCTAAAAATACACTCAATATTCTTTGCAAGCAAAAAAATTTACAGTGTGTTCGCCATTTGAGTGCCTTTATTAGCAAGAAAATGTTTGATTCATCAAAGTAACCTTTAGCAATTATAGCAGCAGAGAAAATTCGAGGCATTCTTTTCTACAAGGGACATTACATACTGCTCTGTTTCATGGGATGAGACAGTTAACTAGTGCATTTAAAGTTATAGGACAGCCTAGAATTTGTCTATGCTAGTTAATAACTCAACCAGTTAATAGGATGTCAGACGTTACATACTCTTTCCATGTTATAAAGGAAAACATTTTATTTATATGATTTAATTTGTATATTTTTATTTATAGTCATTCATTCAGCTTCCTAGTGCTTAACAAGAATAAAAAATCTGCAGTTTTTTAAAGAAATGGAAAAGTGGTAAAAACCCATGGTGTGAAAGAACATTTGCAGCTGCAGTAAATAGTGTGCAGCTGCAGTAGATTGTGTGTGTGCAGCTGCAGTAGATTGTGTATGTGCAGCTGCAGTAGATAGTGTGCAGCTACAGTATATAGTGTGTGTGCAGTATATAGTGTGTGTGCAGCTGCAGTAGATAGTGTGTGTGCAGCTGCAGTATATAGTGTGTGTGCAGCTGCAGTAGATAGTGTGTGTGCAGCTGCAGTATATAGTGTGTGTGCAGTATATAGTGTGTGTGCAGTAGATAGTGTGTGTGCAGTAGATAGTGTGTGTGCAGCTGCAGTAGATCTTCCTCATTTTCTCTGGCACTCACTCCACTTTTCTAAACTAAATCAGTGGTTCAAAACTGTTTGTGCGAATGTGGATGTGTGCAGTGTGCAGTGTGCAGTGTGCAAAGCTTTACATCTTAACCCTAGCAGAATGGCCTTGGTGTCAGCACCAAGATCCAATTAATGGACAGATTCAACAAATTTTGTGCAAAACGTGTCCAAACAGGCAACTGCTGGTTGGACAGATCACCATGTTAAAAAAAAACCCAACATGCTCAAAATAAGGCAGCACACAGCTAAACCACACTTACATATGTACATATTCAAATTTATACAGGTGGCTTATTTTAGACAGCTGAGCAGACACATGGGAGGTAATGAGTCAAAGAGCGATAGTAATATGCTAAGAACAGTGATTAAGGCCATAGCTTAATGTGCACTGCAACATCTTAGCCAGTTTTTTGCGCCAAACATTTGGGCATAGACTTGCTAATTCCAAATAGTTAAAGTCATTTGTTAAATGGCTTGTTCATAAACCTCTGTCATGCCCTATTAGTCTAACAACGAAATTTGTTTTAGCTTGTGTTTTAGTTTGTGGATTTGGTCCCTACCTCTTTGTGCAGCTTCTCTTTTCGTCTGACTACACGTAGTTTAGGTAGATCGGTGTCGATTTATACTGCCTATGCGTCGGCCCCAGCATCCCATCCAAGGTGTCTGCTGGCACACAGCTTCATTAGTGCCCTGCCGTGGTAAAGTGCTTATGGAAATGCGGAGTCATTTGGGAAACTGGTGCTTTCCACTTCAGCAGTGATCAGAAATAAAACTCTAAAACTATGATGTATTTATTTTAGATAGGATATCTATATGGAATATTTCATTGATTGCTGGAAGCTTTGATGTAAGATGCAAGCAGGAACCATATGAACATCTTGCATGTATAATGATTTAGTGAAGAGAGCAAGGTGCTGGTATATCGACACTGTCTGATGAAAACCACCTGCCCACTCTTGATGTGACTCTTGATGTGGATGTGACTTTTTACTATAAATGGAATACACACATTCTGCTCTGTCTACTGATAGTGTTTGACATCCAGTTGACCAATGAAAATACATTTTATGAGGTCATCTATTTACCGAGTTTGTATATGTTTGTACTACTTTACACTTGTATTCATGCTGGTCATTTGTATGAATTATATTATATCACTAATTTTAACAATTTAAGATAGATAGCTAGCTAACTAAAAGCATCACTTGTGTATATAAAGCAAGATTAGTCTGTATTCTATATAAATCCATTCAAAGCATTAAGCTGTATAAAGACAGGTTTCTATTTGTGGTGTTAAGGATGTCTCATTGCATTGTTTTTAGTTTATTTTGTAAAGAATGCACATTTTTTTAGCGCTCTTGAACTAATGAAGATACATGTCTTTCATCAGACAGTGATGATATTTTGTGTCTCATTAAGTGAACCATTAAATCTCTGTCCAGTCATGTGTGCACATTTACAGCATTTAGCAGATGCTCTTATCCATTTTTCTAAAATCAGGGACAGTCTCCCTGGAGCAAGTTAGGGTTAGGGGTCTTGCTCTGGGACCCAGTGATGGTAGTGCCAGAGGTGGGACTCAAACCCACAACCTCTTGGTGCAGAGACAAGCATTTTAACCACTAGACCACCAACACCCCAGCACGTTAATCCGTCAGACATATGCGACTAAAGAAACAGAAGTTAGTTGTGCAGTTGTGGTTTTGAAATATTTTTCACTGTGTTTTTCTGTATGTTTTGCTCTAAATAGGTTTTGGTATGACCACTATGATTTTTTTGGAGTGTTTTTTGTCAGTGTGTGTGTTAGTTTATATGCGTAATTTTTAACCAGTGGTGTTTTTGCTATTCTGACTCATGGTGGGGGAAGTGCTTATTATATGTGCGTAGGTGCATCTGTCGTCATTTGTTTGCTTGAAATCCATATTATTTTTGTGGTTGTGGGATTCTTGTGACGTGATTCTTTTTTTTTTTTTTTACATGCATGTGCAAGCATGTCTGTGTGTGTGTGTGTGTGTGTGTCTGTGTGTGCGAGCGGGTTTACCTATCCTTATGGGGACATAATGTCCCCATAACGTGATAAATGTCAATTTTTTTTCCCTTATGGGGACCGGTTTCCTGGTCCCCATAAGGGAAAACTCTATTTTATAAAAGTCGGTGACTGCTATGAAAAAACTAAAAATGCAAAAACTCTTGTATTTTGTTAGGTTACTTATGGTTATGGTTAGGGCAGGGTAGGGGTTAAGGTTGTCATAGTTAGCGTTAGCATTTTTCCCATTGAAATGAATGAGCGGTCCCCATAAGAATATGTTTACCCTACATGTGCGTGTGTGTGTGTGTGTGTGTGTGTGTGTGTGCCTGCACATGGATGTGTTTCTATCTGCAGCCTTGACTCTGTGCCTTCCTGCAGGACGGACCCTGGGGGCTGATGACTTCCTCCCGGTCTTGATGTATGTAGTGGCCCATAGCAACATTGCCCCACTAATGCTGGACGTGGAATACATGATGGAACTCATGGACCCCGCCATGCAGCTCGGAGAAGGCAAGGCGGTTCGCTGCGAGCCATGCGGCATGCGGCATGCCTCACCGATTGCGCTATTCATCACAGGAGACCACACCCGCAGTCCTGTCCCCAGGCAGAAATATGCATCAGAGTAGCAGGGTGTTTGGGTGCATTCAAGCAATTCTACACAGCTACAGCTACAATCATAACCTGCTATACTTATATATCCTCTAGGCTCCTACTACTTGACAACAACCTACGGGGCACTTGAACATATAAAGAACTATGACGTCATGCAAATGACTCGGCAGCTTAGTCTGGAAGTACAGGACTCCATCCATCGCTGGGAAAGACATCGCACCCTTAGCAAGAAGCGTCTGTCTGGCTCTCCTGTAGAGGTACGTAGGCCTGAGCAACAAAAGATGGTGTCTCAAGACTCAAACATACTGTAGGGCTGTGGGAAATATTACCCTCACTACTGTTTTTCCCTACAGGACTTCGTGAAGGTATCCTTGCTGGAGGCTGGTGCCAACATCAAGACTCTAGGCGTCCGAGCCAGCACTACCCTACAGGACCTCTGCAGACAGTGTGCAGAGACATTTGAGGTTGTCGAGCCCGACACCTACAGGTTATATATTTCGGTGGATGGAAAGTACCAAAGCCTAACCCCAAAGGAGCTTCCGTTGTCAGTCAAGTCCAGTTTGCACCACAGTGAGCACCGTGCAAAGTATCATTTTGTATACCGGCCAGGAGTCTGTGAATCTGAAGCAGACGATGTGCCGTTTTTCTTATTGCCGAGCGACATTTGAATTGTGAGTGTAGGCTGACTGCAAAGATTCTACCTCTGTCTTCAGGGCAGACTGACGAAAACGACGGAGGAAACATTTATGTAACATTTATGCTAAGTGAATAAATGTGGAATTCACACTATTTTCTAACACATGAGTGTAATTCTGGTTAAAGTCCTGTATCAGGGCTGGACTGGCTAGGGTTACCATAGCCATACCATACCATTGATGAGACAAAAAAGAGGCGCGTCCAGGGATCAGAATATTAATAAGATTTCGCGTTCACCGGCCAATCAGGCAGTGCTTCTCTTATGCATATTAATGAGTTTTCCTAACCAACCCATAAAATGAAAATTCGTACAGTTTACACTTCACAGGTATCTACACACAATTGACACAATATACATGTATACAAGTGTTTTTCAACAACACTTACAAAACGCTAAGCTTAAGTTTGTTAAACTTCAAGCACGTGATGCGATTCACTGTTCACAGGGAAATGAAAATGAAGTGTCAGAGTGCCAGTGGTTCCCGAAGCTGATGTCACTCATGAGCAGTGTGACACGTAGGCATGTGCACAGCATTTAATTACCTACATAAGCATGTGCGCGAGCGCTGTGCGATGACACCGAGCGGCTCCCATACACTGAGAATCGGTGCCTCTTCCTTCGGTTGGTTCTCCACTGTAACTTGCAGCACTGGGTCATACGGGTGGCAGCGCTAAACCCGGACAAACCACTAATTTTTGAAAAACCACCCAGATGCCTGGACAGGGGCCCAAAATGAGGATGTGTCTGGGCAAACCCAGATGTGTGGTAAACCCAGGACTGGCCATCTGACATATTGGGTGTTTTCCTCGGGCCTGATGAGTTTGTGGACCTGAAAGTCCAGGGTCGATTTCTAATCCCGGTTTGGCTCTGACCTGTTTATGCGAAGTGCAGGCACAAATTAGTGGGGCTGGTATGAAATGGCAGCACCCCGAAAGCGTGGCACTGGTGCTCGTCGTAGCCCATGTGGCAGCCTGAGCAAAATTCACCCCCCAACTACAAAAAAAAGAAAAACACTTCACTGCCCAATTTCACTTCGCCAAGTGTGGATGTCGACAGTGAAGGCTGCCGGGGGGGAGGGGGGTCAACAGTCTGCTAAGCCGGGGCCTGCTCAAGAGATGCCATCCATCTTGCCTTTACCAAGATCCACCCATGTGTGGCGCTACTGAGATACCCTAACAAAGGGACGCCTCCCATTTATTCAGGAATATCTCATGTTTAAAAGGCCCCATCCTTCCATTTTCTTTCTTTCAATCGTCTTGTTTCTCAGTTGCCATTGCTTGCCTGCCTGTTCATATGCCTTTTCACTGCCTGAAAAGTCTGTAATCTAAATATTGTTCTAATTCCTAAATTAGTGTAAAACATAACACATCAAACACATGCCTTTCAAGGTATAACTTAAACCTTGACATACAAATCAGTGGTCAAAACTATAATCTATGAGCAAAATATGAGAGTGTTGTGTTTTAGGGATGTATGTATTATGTATATATTTGCAACTGGCTGGCAGATGTAACACCACAAGGAGTGACTTACTCTGCATATAATTACAGCTTTTATGTGCTAAACTGGGACACCATATAGACCTTGAGGAAAATACCCAGGTATCAATGGCCTATATGCATTGAAAAAATAATCATGTTCATAATAGATTTCATACAAATATTTTGCACAAATATTTCATGAAAAATATTTTTGTATGTATAATACATCTGCATAGCTTGAAAATATGTTTAAAATCTGTAGCATATAAATTTGCACCCCATGAGTTGGTATGTAGGGATGTGGAATACATCCACATTAATGAATACTTTGTGTCAAGTTGCGATGGCCTGCTATTAAATTAATTAATTCTCTGAGATTCCCGAATGAGTTTGTTTCCCTACAGAACATACTGAACATAAACAAACCACAAGCCGTTGCAGTTTTGGTTGCCTGGCTTCCAACCGTCACCCCATGTGCATCTTTGTGTTATATGTCCTAATGAGAGACCCCTGGCTACGTTCCAGCAACCTGGATTCTAAGCCAAGGCATGCATCCTCTACTATACAGTTGAGTAGCAGCGCCCCCTAGTGCATCGGTGGACATTTATTTTTAATCATTTATTTTGCTGTAATATTTAGTAGAAATTCACCTATGCAAAATCATAATACAACACCACCAGATGCAAAATCACAAGGTAAATGTCACCTTCGATATGTACTTCTGGTATCTTCCAAATATTGAAATAAAACAGATCGCTTCTGAATACAGATGGTTTCGTTCCTGAGAGAGGTGGAGTTTTGATAAAATAAAAAAGAGCCTGTATTTCTTTGTGTGCGAACCACACATAGTTACACGTGTTTGATTTTAGAACAAAGGAAGATGGGGGTGTCTTGGATGCCATGCTGCATGCTCATTTGCACACAGAGGATGAGATTCTGCGTTTTGTTTTATTCTGTCACCTGAAACGGTACATCATGCAGGGGAGGGTGGTGGCAGGAAAGGACAAGGGATCCGAGGAGGACAGGATGTGAGGGAAGATGGAAGAACAAGGGAGGCACAGGAAGACGGAAGCAGCGGAAAAATGCCGGCAGTCAGGGGTCTTGCTAGGACCCTCCCAGCTAACTTGGAACGTTCCCAGAACTTTAGCCGTCGTTATGTGAAAGTCTTCTCAAAGTTCCCAGAGAACATTCTTATTGTAACGGTAATGAAACGGTAATTCCATTTTACATTTTATCAAAAGTTCTGTCAGTGTCAGTGAGATAACATTATTACCCGAACATCCTTTTACGCACATAATTTTCAAAATTATTGTTTTGTAATAAAATATTATTTTATGAAAGTGCTACCTGTGTATACTGCAAAGACGCTATCCAGCCTCGAACCTGTGATCTTTGATGTGTTACTTGCTGCTCTACCAAGACCTTCATTTGTTTTAATATTATTAGCTTTGGTTGTAGTAGTAATTGTAGTAGGGGGATAACGTTCTAGGAATATCTAGGAAACTGGACACTTTGAACGTTTCCATACCTTAATCGTAACACTTGGTAAACATTCCTAGACTGAAAAATTGTTAACGGTGTTAAAACATCAGGGCTTTAGGACAGGAATGTAATGTTTCCCAGCATCCACCTGCTCTACTCAAACTCCTCTGAAGTTACAGTGATTACAGCACTATGTAGGCTATGGAGTCCATAGCACTGGGCTGGGACTGCTGTGCTGTATGGAATTCTCAATATAAGTGCATGGTTGGTCAAACAACTCAAAGTCATAAGTCAAAAAATCTGTATTATCATTTCTGCCATATGTACAGGAACACGGAGGATAGAAATTTTGTTACTCTCTAGTAACACAGTCTCCATTGGACCTTTGGGGTTACCTTTACTGATGTGGCTAGCCAATGGTAACACAGTCTCCATTGGACCTTTGGGGTTACCTTTACTGATGTGGCTAGCCAATCGTAACACAGTCTACATGAGCTTTGTCAGGAAGTCACAATGAGTCAATGCAGAGGCTCCGGTGTTTCAGATTAACCGCGTGACCCCCGCAACCTTTCAGAAAATGGACCCCATTTCCAGAGCCGCGCCACGCGGTAATGAGGGGAGACATCCCTTGTCTGACACTGTCACCCGATGTCGGCAGCCATTATTTTAAATTAGGTCATAATAAAATAGTATCCAGGACAGTTTGTCATGCATGTAAATGGCCAACACTTTCCTTTTTGAGTGAGATGTGATTCAGAAGAGCTGCAGTGTCTGTTAAAATTGCACACGCCATTTTCTCCAGTCAGAACAATGCTGTAATTTCCTCTGGTAATGTTTATTCCACAGTTAAAGCCTATTAGTTTGAAAGTTTGAAGTTTTGAAGACACAAGAACAGGGTCAGAAAGTACCATAAAGTTTAAAGATGTTCGAATCCCAGAAGAGGACTTAATGAACGTGGAGCATTGGTGTAAATCCGTCCGGCTAGTTCTGCATAAAAATGAAAATAAACATTAAAAGTTCATATAAAGTTTATATTTCTGAGTGTGAGCATAAGTGTTTCCATGTTTGAACGTGTGTCTGTGAGTGTGTTGGCGGCATTTTGTGTATGTGTGAAGATAGAGGCTGGAAAAAAAAGGTCTTTTTAGATTTAACGAGGCCATCGTGTTCTTACATCTCGGCGTGTGCGTAGGCAGCTGAAGGAAACCGTACGAATGCAAATTGGGCTCCATCATCCCTATGCCCCGCAATGGCGTCAAACTACGCTAGCATGTTGGGGTCCTACCTGACCAGGGGCGTTATGGTCCAAGGAACAATAGGGGTGAGGTCATATGATCACATGGACATGATGTTTAACTGATGAAAGGCTTTTTCTGGCTCAAGAGAATGCACATGCATGTATTTTTAACTTGCAATTCTTCCTAGTTCCACCGAAGACATCATTAAGCACACTGACGTCCAAACGGGCCTATCTTTCGAGCCCCGTCGCTATATTAAGAATTGTGACAAACAGGACAGTCATGGGCGGAGTTTTCCATGTCTTTGAAGCATGAAACATGTCTTTCTACCTCTTGCTCTTCATCATCCCATCCTCCATATCCCAGGACTGGGTGGGGAGGGGGGGGGGGGGGCAAGGGGGCTTGCAGTATATAAGTACCATTGAAAACTTGATCGACACTACAATTGGCATCCTCAACACGGCTCACCTGAACACTGGGTAGGAATCTAGGAAGCAAGACAAGAACTTGCTCAAGTTGCACGTGTGCTGAACACACGGCAAAGGCAAACGTGCTCAGCAGCTCGAACCACAACACACTTTGGGTGAACAAGCTCATTACAGGCAGTCGCTAAGGTAAGCAGTTATGTGACAGATGTGTGAGATAAATCTCTAATGAATTTCTGGCCGAAAAATTCAGTATAAAATGTATTATACGACTATAATAATTATCTCTAAACAACCTTGAGTCCTTGTAATTTCAAATTTAATAGCTTTCAGGTTGCTATTAAACTTTATATGTTCAGAAACACTTCTGACAAAAATGTCATACAGTAACAAAACTTTATAATGAAGCTGTCATTACTAAACAATAACTTTTAAAGCAGAAATGATCTATATACAAAAATGCTTTGTAGTCGGCCAGCAGAAAGTTGAATTTCTTTTACCAAAGTATGTATTGATTTTCCTTCTAATATCTGTGCTGGGTTGATAATATGCTTCCCATAGAGACATCTGTTCAAAAGCAAATGTACGGATATTTTTATAGCATGTTAATTGTAACCCGAAGGTCATTCATGAAATATATCAAGTAAAATGAGTTATTTTTTCCAGTAATTGGAAGAATGTAAAAATTGTACTGCGGTTAAGCTGGTGAAAATGGTTAACAGAAGTTAAATTATGGTATTCAAAATTGTTTAATTATGTCATAATTTTAATATTCAAGGACATATCCTCAACTGCAGATAAAATTTATGTTTTTTTGTCTTTGAAATTCCACAACAGAAAATACAAGGACGTAAAACAGAACTGCAAGGTATTACCCCAGATCAAAGTAAGCTATACGGAGAACTTTTTGTTTTAATTATTTAAACAAAATGTCCTTTTTTTCCAGACCATCCCGAAGTTAGAATGCTATACCATTAGGGTGTTTCTGCTCCTTTAGCCACCGGACTGTACAGCGTGTCCGTTGGGTCCAAAGCTGGGAAACAAAATATTTCTTAAAAAAAAAAACATTATTGTAAACTATAATGCATTATTCTTGAATTTTAATGTAGTACATGTGCACAGGCATTTTCAAATACATTTTAATGACTATGCTTTATTTAGTTTTTTTATTGCTATTTACTGATTTATCTGACACTTGTATCCAAAGCGACTTACAGTAGAGGAAACGATCACAATGTATGTGTCTTCTTTTGTTAACAAGAAGCCATCAGAGGTTATCAGAACCTATTCTAATACCTTCATTTGATTTACAAATGTTACACTTTCAATGGGATATTTCAATTTCAGCTTTTCATAATCAGTTGAACATTTAAATGACATTTCTTTCAAAATTGGAACGTATACAATGTATTAGCTACATGTTACTTTTTAACCACAAATATTCACTTTATTTGAATTATTTTGATGATGTGTTAATTACAAATGAATGTCTATATCCCGCCAATAAATGTTAGCTATAGAGTATACATTAATTACTTTGGAGTTGAGCATTGAGTGGTGAATTGTGACAGATTTGTTTTGTAATTAGTGATCTCTGTAATTTCTGGGTCTTTCCCCGGGACAGATGGCTGGTCTGGGTCTCCCTCCCTGCTTCTCAGTCCTGCTGCTTGCACTCCTCTGCATGACTCTGGCATCCTCTGGGTTTCCTCTGAGGTAGGATGGACATCCCAGAGAAACAGGCTGGGCTTGATTGTGGGTCTGTAAGTCTGTAATGCTGCTCTGTCAATTAGCACAGCTTCATAATTATAGAAAAAATCCAAATTTATGCACGTGTCCTTCCTCATCTTAGTTTATATCAACACTCCAAATGATTCTACATGGAGTTTTTTTTCCTCATTGATAAAAAAATACGTATCTCTCGCAGCTCCAGATACTCTCCTCCAATTGGCCAAGAGGATTCCAAAATGGCGCAGTGGGAGGTCTTGTACCCCTCCATCTCACTCCTTGATTGGAGCTTACAGATGATGGCAGGTCCCGAGTTTGCCAACTCGAAAGCAAAACCTGGACTCGTGGCTGATAAGCCCTGGCTTCCAATGGGTCAGTCACACGTGGAGGACATCAAAAAAAGCTGGTCATCTGATTGGTCATCCCAGGCAGGTCATGAAGGGAAGAGGAACATTGTGGTAGCAGATGATGCAGCTTTTCGGGAGAAGAGCAAACTCCTGACAGCCATGGAGAGGCAGAAGTGGCTCAACTCCTACATGCAGAAGCTGCTGGTGGTCAACTCCCAGTGAGGTCTTTGCCAGTGTGCTTAGAGAATTAAAAGATAAGTAACTGAACACTAAACTGTGTGTGTGAAGTGTACTTTACCAGTTAATAAAATTTAAGTGCATAGTAGCACTGAGTGGTTCATAATACAATGAAACAAAATTAAGTTTATTATTATTATTATTATTATGAATGATCTTCTTTTATTATAAATTGAAGGAGAGCACACGTAATAACAAAACCAACCCAGAAAGCTAAGCATATGAGATCTAAATACAGGCATGTGTATATATATATATATGTGTGTGTGTGTGTGTGGGTGTGTCTGTGTGTGTATATGTGTGTGTGTGTGTGTGGGTGTGTGTGTATATATGTGTGTCTGTGTGTGTGTGTGCGAGCGGGTTTACCTATCCTTATGGGGACATAATGTCCCCATAACGTGATAAATATCCGGATTTTTTTTCCCTTATGGGGACCGGTTTCCTAAAAATGCAAAAACTCTTGTATTTTGTTAGGTTACTTATGGTTATGGTTATCTGTAAAATGACAACAAAAACAAACTGGAAAAAAACAATTATTTTAACATACCAATGACTTCTTGCATACATTTTTGTGGTCATGATTTGTTTGTTATTTGTTGTCTGTTAGTTCGTACTATAAATAAAAATGGCATCACTAGAAGAGAAATTACATGGATTACTATAGAAAGATATAGAGATCAAATTAGTTATAGATTACTATATTAAAATATAGCTGCTAACAATTGCACCTCTTCATATTTACGACAAAGAGTGTTCAAGCTGTCATTTTTAAATCTCCTGACCTATTGATAATATCGTATCGAGGCATCATGACAAAAAAGCACGAAAAATCAATGTTCTTTTTCTGTGCATTTTGCGTCAATTGGACTAATATGCAGTAGTATTATGTACATACGGTATATATATATATGTATATATCTGCACATACAAAAAGCCACAACACGTCCCAGCATATTACGGATAATTGGTGACCTTTTACTTAGGGCACGTCCTATTGATCCATTTACAGCTACTCATTGGCTGCCACCGCTGTGCTCATCACGCTTATGTGCTCTCCATCATGGGGCAGAGGACACTGTGACCATCCTACCTAGACAATCAACAATATCGAACTGCGGTTAAAATAGTGTCCTTTAATTTACAGATCCTCAGTGGATGGCTCAGATTCTTACTATGAATCTGAAACAGTGTTTTGCAAATTGCCGTTGGGTGAGAAGAATGTTTTCAGTGACAGAGAAGCTGACAATCGCGCAGGGTCAGTAAGGTGAGCACAATATCCTTATTGGCCTGGCCTAAAAAGCAGGCCTAAGGCGCCCTCTGGTGGACAAACCTAGAACAGTAGATTTATACAATGCTATTGCATATTACTGGTATGGTGTGTTACTAGAGCAATTTAATTTAAGGGTACATCTGGAGGTGCTAGCTGGGATTAAAACTATAGGTCTCAAGTCCATGGCCTTTACAATTGCAGTACACGCCATCCGACTATCATGAGCCTGAAAATCTTTACAATATGTACAAATTGCAAGGTTGTGCTGTTAATGCTATAAATGATCCAAAAAGCAAAAGCCACATATCTAACAGAAGCAGTGAGGCATGGGCTCACGAGAGGCTTGGGGGGAACATGAATCTCTGAAGGGCCAATGGTTGTTAATAATCCATATGCAAGCTTTGCTGAGTTGCGTTGTGCTCAAGGCTGAGTATTCGATATAGCAAGAACCTTGAAATTAATCATGGGTCAAACCTAAAGAAACCTCCAGAACCCTATTACGCTTTCAGACTAGCCGATTCATTTTCTGATGCACAATGTCTTTGATTTATGAATAAATGTCACCTTGTTAGTCTCTGTCAGGGACGCTCTTGGCCCGTGTAATATGTGTGTACCTAGGAGTTGTATTTTTTATTTGTCTTTTTAACTGAAATATGTTCTAAACACACTATGCAACAACCGACGTGAAGATTATAGTGTGTATTATTTAATATGCAGAACTAATTACCAGAAAAAATGCTGCTCCCCCAATCTATGCAGAAGGATATATTACTATGTCATAAGAAAAGGCTCTATCAAGCACGATGGAACATATTTGTGGAGTGTGGCCCTTAGACACACATTTAGGATTTTAATTAACTGTAAACCCCGCTGGTAACTGGTGAGTTTGGGCCCATTAAGCTTTGTTTTTCCTCTCCTAGAGTAGGCGTTTTATCTTTCACTGCAGGCAGTATCCAATCCAGTCACTGATAACATGGACCAAAATCTACAGTCAATACAGGATTCATCAGGCCCAGCAGTTCGGAACTTGTTTTTATTTATTTTTTTGAGAATGTAACAGACACGCAGAAGCATCCGTTCAGGTATCTCCTGGTGGACTTTGGACTTCCCAAGGGTATTGGTTCTGTACCAGCACAGCACTGGTGCTGACAGACGTATCGTCAGCAAAACGATTATTTCCCAAGTACACGTTCATATTAGGTGGCAGCAGAATGAAATTAGCAGGTGCTAAATTGCTTCCCGTGGGCTGTTTGCCTCATCAGCTCACAGTGCTGGTGTTATTACAACATCTCTTTTCAAAGGTGATCAGTATTCTCAAGGCTGGACCTAATCCTCAATGCATGAGGAGGTAGCTTGGCGGGGGGGTCAATGACACAGGACAAAGGAAAAAAAAGTATAATCTCTCCAAATGGAGAGAAGACAAAGACAGAGTAAAGGAGGAAGGGGATACTTTGCATGATTAATGCCCAACCCAAACAGCGGGGAAATAAATAAAGGAACTTCGCAATTTCACGCTGCGGAAAAGGGACGGTGAAGCCCTGAGGTCATTTAAAATTCCCCAGGAAAGCTGATTGTTTTGCAGGGTGGTCTTGCAGTTCCCTCGGTGCTACGGGGGAAGGGTTTCCACCTCTCTGTCACGGGAGGTCAGTGCTGCGATGTAACGAGACAACTGACATGCTCCAGAAAATGCAGTGGCTGCAGTTTGAGGAGCGACCACCAAAGGAAATGTCTAGCGTACTTTTTTAGGACCGACATGGATCAGCATTTAAATTAAACAAAAACTAACCTTTGACCGATTTCCAAACAGAAAATCCAAATACACCCAAATGAACCTCAATGTATTCCTTGTGGGCCAATGTATGCAAGCCTTTTTTCTTTTTCAAATTGATTTGCTCTATTTCACACTTGTTCTTTTTCCGGAACTGATCACTTTCTCCTTTTCAGCAAGATGGTTCACTATTTTTTTTATCGTGCAGCCAGTATTATCATATTACTGCCACCCTTTGTCAATCTTCTTTTAAACCATTAATATCTACCACGGCTTGCATAATGACATCACATTTTGTCAGTAATGCTAGGAATACGTGACTTCATTGCCTAGCAACTGCACAATGACTCTGCTGATACTTCAGCATTCCATTCATTTCAATGGGCTACATCATTAAGCCGTGATCTGTGTAATTATTACCGAATAGCATTCATTACCCTAATATGTTCGCAAGAATCATTAAATATCTCAGATCTGCTTCGCTCATCAATAGCGCATCTAAAAAAATATCAGTGTATTGGAATGAAGGAAGCCAGTTATTCTATAAATAACCAATTCCATAAATTGTTATGCAGTGTTATTCACATTCACAGTGCCATAAACAATGTAAAACACTGTCGCCTATTAGCAAAATATATCGCGAACAGATATTATAAACAAATTTTAGCACTTTTTTTTTAATTTCTTATTTTATAGCTCTAAAGAGGCACTATGTTTCTATCACTGAAATAAACATTCACTTTCATATACAGCAATAAAAACAACTGGTCAGCTTTATACCTCAATTTCCACTTTCTTCTGACTATTGCCAGAATGCTTTGTGAGCGTACTCTCAATCCAAACGAACTATCGGAGCCTTTATCTGAGTTTCAACTGGAACAAACTTATAAATTTGGAAACTCCTATGAACAACGAGGCACTTTTGCCTATTTCGTTTTACCAGTATGCTCTATCCAAACCTGCCAAATGAAAAAGAATGGATAATGAACAGCACAATTAAAAAAAGAAAAAAAGTCACTATATGTTATATTATCTCGGTAGTCAGCTGGAATAGGTGGAAGTAATTGTGTGATTCTTTGGCCTCACAAATAATGCTGCCAGGTCGCACATTCCGGCCGCTACTGAACACCTTACTCACAAACAAACAGTGAAGCCCAGGCAGAATACCCAGAAAGTCATGCGTTTGTTTCACAGTTTAAGAATTTTATTAAAACATAATATTTCTGTCCCCCCCATAACAATAACAGAATAATTACACTCTTAGTAATATTATAATGATTATCATTTCTAGTTGTGACAACAAAAAAAATCACAGTTACAAATAACAATAACAACAATTATAAGTATAACTACAACAACGACAAGAATGATAACAATAATAAGAAGGGCAACAAATGGCGTTGGGATGACAATAAATCTTCAGTCACGTCACACTAAAATCATTCACACTCTTTATCATCGCCTTCCTGGTTGTTAACATATGTTTGGTGGCTCATAATAATCTCATTGCAGTCATTCTGTCCAGCCAGCAAAAGAACAGACATCTATATTCACACACCTCACTGTCATAAGCGTGACAAGTTCCAGGTCTGCCTACATCTGACATATCACTGGTCAAAGGAACATTTATGTCTGAGAACACAAGGCAAACTGCTCCGGTTCCGTCCAAGAAAACCAGCCATCCCCATACTAGCACCTTCCTGGAACGTCTCCACCTCTTCCAAACTCCCACTGTTTCCTTTCCCTTGTGTCTTGCTATGCTTGACCACCTCCACACCAGCTGCTCTGTTAAACATTTAAGGGCTGTAAATAATCAGCATACTGACTAATTAAATAATAAGAAGACCATAGCAAAGCATTAGAATTTTTTAAAAATCCTTAAAAATCCCCAAAGTGACACGAAATAATATCTTAGATATCAGCCATTCGCTGATCAACTGCAATGTC